TTCTCCTCCTCGATGCAAGTCTGACACGACTGAAGAAGAACTAGATCAGATCGGCCCCTTCGCTAAGGCGTACGTGGAGGCTTTTGAAATTCTCCTGCCTGTTCTTGCCGTGGCTTGTTTGTGGCTTTTCCTCCTGCGCAGCGTTCACAGCCCGGGTTTGATTGGGGCTCGCCCTCCGTGCGCTCAGCTAACACAAATAATGCGCCGTCTCAGCTTACGGGAATATTTAATAGTGAGTTGTTGATCTCGTAACAATTATGGTCCCCGCTTAGTGATGCGTTTGTGACTCCTCCTGGCAGAGGAGTCATCTAGCTGAATCTGAATTAGTGGTTTCAATGTGCAGTGATATAACAAACAATAGCAGTAACACAGCATAGGGTCCTTTTTCATTAATTTTTTTTTTTTTTTTCAAAAGCATATGAGTCTCAACTAACGTTTAGCAATTGATGTACTATTATCCCTGTCTTTTGTAGACGATGGCGTTACACCCGCGAAGAGTTCGCTTGAAGCCGTGGCTGGTAGCCCAGGTAGATAGCGGTATGTACCCTGGCCTTATCTGGCTAAACCGAGAAGCGAAGCGGTTTCAGATCCCCTGGAAGCACGCAACTCGGCACAGCCCGCAGCACGAGGAGGAGAACACCATCTTCAAGGTGAGGGAGGGGACAGCTCGGGTATACCGCGGCTCTTCAACAGAGACAAAGGCTTGAATTGTTGGCCTGGGAGCTGGGCAGGCATCTCAGTAGCTGTCCCCAGGCACATTTTGTCCTATTTCTTTGACCTCAGATAAGCCACTTTGTGCACCTGGATGCCAGGCTTGGCACTGCCTGAAACGGTGTTGAGTTCTTTAACCCCTTCCGACCACCAAAGGCCGGGCGATGTCTCATGGCACGGGCTCTGGAAGATTACTGCTATTTGCTTCGTCTGCTCGGTTTAGGATGTGGTAGCTGGCTTGTTCTTAGCAGCAAACCATTAAATACTGTGACAAAAATCTTAAGATGTCCACCACAAACTTCCAGTAGTCATCACTGCTGTCCCTAATATGCTCATCCCAAGGGATTCGTTATAACTCACGCAGTCCTTTGAGGAATTTCTGACCTCTGTCTTGGAGGGATCTTGGACTGACAGTCTGATCTGGGGGGGGGGAGAGAGGGAGAGGGCCAGCTGGATGTCTGTGGCTGCTCTCCCACTCCATTCTACCTGAGCCCATCCCTCCTGAGCAGGGTATGGCTCACGGTCAGAAATGACTTTTGGTATTGAACCTGAGACCTAGAAAAACTCAGTGCATAATCCTGTACAATTTATATTTTCTTAACTTGTATGAAGATGCATGTTCAGAATTGTTAATGGTTTTTAGAAATCTGGGTTTACATCTTTTTTTTCTCCCCCTTCTTTTAATGGGAAAAATATATTAAAGCAGGAATTTCCATTGTTGTTATCAGAAGAGCTATAGTTAAGATTTCTGCAAGAGAAGGATTTTACAGTGAATTTGTTTGGAAGATTGATTTCTGATAAAAGCTGCTCTGTTGAGAGGGCTGGACTGAGCACTGTGTACTTTGTCCCCAGGCATGGGCCGTGGAAACGGGAAAGTACCAGGAAGGAGTCGATGAGCCAGACCCTGCAAAGTGGAAAGCCCAGCTCCGATGTGCTCTTAACAAAAGCCGAGAATTTAATTTGATGTATGATGGCACCAAGGAGGTGCCCATGAATCCTATTAAAATTTATGAAGTGTGCGATATCCCGCAGTCCCAGGGATCAATCATTAATCCAGGTGAGGGCCTTGCTGACACAGGGCCGGTTACTGAGCAGGCATTTGTCCAATTCGAGTTCCTTTTCCTCCGCGGCATTAACTCTCAAGCTGCCTTTGTGTGCAGCAGAAAGCAGCTGCCATGTGTAAGCCCGGCTGTACTTAAACGAAGAGGACTTTGAACCATAGTGTACCTGTACTGAAATTAATAAAGCTGTACACAATTGCATGTTTGCTGCTAAGCAGTCCAATGTTGGTGGTAGTTTATCTATATCCTTAGCTTTCTAGAATTATGTATTAACCTGAAAATAGTATGTTGTACAGATCAGATTTTTTTTTTTTTTTTACTTATGTTCTGAAAATAAACAAATACATTTCCATTATTGTGCAGAGGCAGTATGAAGATTACATCATTTTTTTAATAAATGCATTGCAGTGTTTCACATTGATCGACTGCCCACAAAAATGTGCTTGTTTGCAGGTTCCACTGGCTCAGCTCCATGGGATGAAAAGGATAATGATCTTGATGATGAAGAGGAGGAAGAATTGAATCAATCTCAGCATGTCCCTATTCAAGAGACGTTTCCATTTCTTAATATCAATGGTTGGTGGCATAGACTGATGTATTAGTGAAGGTATTTGCTTGGAAATTGGTGCACGCTTTAAATAAAATCCTGATTTATTGAAGAACTGTTTCCTTTTTGTAGATTCTCCCATGGCTCCAGCCAGTGCAGAAAACTGCAGCCCTGAATCTGTGTGGCCAAAGAATGAACCTCTAGATATGGAAATGCCCCCAACTGCGCTGCAACATGACTTCTTCAGCAGCCCTGAGCTCTGGATCAGTTCTCTGCCAAGTATGTATATGGATTTGTAGCACTTCTGTCGTTGTACTTTAAAAAAAAAAAAAAAAAGAGTGTTTTGACTTTTTTTCTTGTGGCTGTTTGCTTATTAGCGTGGAGAACTGTGTATAGTTCAAACATCCCTGTGACTGTAGCGTGGATTGTGTGCTGTGTCTCTGCTACTGATGCAGTCAGTACATGCAGTCCAGGAAAAGCCATACTGACAGTTTCTCTCTCAGTGACAGACCTAGAAATCAAGTTTGAATATCGAGGAAAGGAGACTGGCCCGACAACGACTGTAAGCAATCCGCAGGGATGCAGACTTTTCTATGGAGAGCTGGGTCCTATGCCAGACCAGGAAGAGCTCTTTGGGCCTATTAGTCTGGAGCAAGTAAAGTTTCCAGGAACAGAGCAAATCACCAATGAAAGGCAGAAGATCTTCACAAGTCGGCTGCTGGATGTTATGGACAGGGGACTGATCCTGGAGGTCAGTGGCCACGCCATCTACGCTGTCCGGCTCTGCCAGTGCAAGGTGTACTGGTCTGGTCCCTGTGCGCCTTCCTCCACCACGCCAAATTTGATCGAGAGGCAAAAGAAAGTCAAACTCTTCTGTCTGGAAACGTTCCTAAGCGGTAGGTAACTTCTGCTTCTGGAAAACAGCTTTGGATGCTGGTCTGGGCACTTGGTGGCACTATTGGAAAGGGTGGTCTGCGCTGGGGCTAAGCCTGGATGCACCGGTTTGTTTGCTGGGGCGTGGGTAGGGGCCACCGCTTCCCTGACCTCAGTGGACCACGGAGCGGGTGTGCATCAGGAGGGAGTGAACGTACACTCATTTAGTGCTCTGAAAAACAGAGGAGAGCCTTGCTTTTAAAGAAAGCTCTTCTGGGTGCAAGAAGTAACCTATAATTGTGTAAGAGGTGGCTCTGGCGAAGGACAGTGTGTAGGTAAGACCTGGAATGATACAATGAGGTGGGATGTGGTGAGTGTTTCTAAGGGAAAGAGGACAACCCCACAGCATTCTGCTTTTCTTCCCAGAGCTGATTGCCCATCAGAAAGGACAAATTGAGAAACAGCCACCGTATGAGATCTACTTCTGTTTTGGAGAGGAGTGGCCTGACGGAAAGCCCAGGGAGAGGAAGCTGATTGTGGTTCAGGTAGGGGCTGAGGCTCTCAAGGGGCACGGGCCAGCCTTGCTGGGGCTGGTGCCTTGGCTCTGGGTGCCGGAGAGCTGTTCTGCTCTGTGCTGTGGTTACTGGCACTGGGAAGCCCCAGTAAGACTGGTGAGTTTTGTCACAGCAAATACAGATGCTACGTGTGCCGGATAGCACCAGTCCGTGAGTGCGCTTTAGATTATTGTGGAAACCACCCCCTGCATCCAGGGCAGGGGATTCCTGCAAAATAACAGGAATATACCCTGCGACCATTAGGCTAAAACAACCGGCTGCTGCTTCTTCTTAAACAGGTCATTCCAGTTGTGGCCCGGATGATCTATGAAATGTTTTCCGGGGACTTCACGCGTTCCTTCGACAGCGGCAGCGTGCGGCTCCAGATCTCTACGCCCGACATCAAGGACAACATCGTGGCTCACCTGAAGCAGCTGTACCGGCTGCTGCAGAACCACCAGGAAGGGTGGCCGATGCCGGCCCCGGCCATGCACATGGCACAGCCACTCCCAGCCCAGTGACAGCCCCTCGGCGCTGCCCCAGGGTCGCTTACGTTGTACATACAGAAAACTACTTCTTAACAAGTGCCTTGCTTAAATCTGAATAAAATCTGTAAATCTGGTCATCTGATTCAACTTCAGCGGTCTATGGTACTATTGTTTGGAGAGTGTTCAAAACAGAGGGGATTACAGGAAGGCCTCTAGCTCCTTCAGCTGTTTGCTTAAGCAACCAGTATGTATAAATCAGATTTTCAATCCTGTAGTATTTTTTAATCCGCTCTCGATTACATTGTATATAAATAATCATTAGGAGGGGGGGAAAAAATAAAATCTGTGCTCTATTAAAACTGTGTGGAGAGTATCACCTTGTCTGGTTTTATTTCTCTCTTTAGCGGGGCTGTAGCTACGCACTTGGGCGGCTGACGCTTCTCCCCGCGTGGGTGGGTGTTGTTTTTTTTTTTTTTTTAATAGCTCTGTCTACACCGCCACCCTGTACACACAGAGATACTTTAAAAAGCAGGTTAGCGCGCCGTGAGAAGCCACCCGCAGCTGAAGGCGGGGGGGGGTGGCCCTGCCCGCGGCTGCCCCGCGCTGGGGCTGAGGGGTATGGAGGCGGCCTGCTCCCCGCTCCCGAACAGGCCCGAGCGGCTTCCGGGGGCGAGAGCGGCCTCTCCGGGCGGGACGCAGCCGCTCCGCCCCGGGCTCCCGCCCACGCCAGCGCCCAGGCCGCCCCGGAAGCGCTGGGCCGGGCCGCGCCTTCCCCGCCATGGAGGCGCGGCTGGTGGCGGCGGCGCGGGAGGAGCTGGGCCCCGCGGCCGGGCGGCGGTGGCCCGCGGCCCGCGCCCTGCAGCTCGCCGGGGAGGTGCTGGCGGTGGCGGCGGGGCTGAAGCCGGCGCTGCTCTACGACTGCGGCGCGGCGGGCCCCGCCGAGCTGCGGCGGTACCTGGCCCGGCTGCGGGCGGCCGGGCTGCTGGCCCCGCGTCGCCTCCACTTGCTGGGCGCGGAGGGCTCGGCCCCGCTGCTGCTGCGGCCGGGGCTCGCCCGGCGGCGGCTGGCGGCTGTGCTGCGGGCCAGCCCCGCGCCCTTCGTGGACGTGGCGGCAGGCCGGCCGTGCCCGGCTCTGTGCGGGCCGGCGGAGGCCGAGGCCATCAGGGGCCACCTCGCCGCCCTCCTGGCACACTTAGGGGCTGCCGAGGCCACCGGCGCCGGCCCCGTCTCTTCCAGCGAGGTTGTCCCGGCGGGCTGGAACCTTTGCACCGTTGTCGGGGTGCTGCTGGGCTACCCGGCAGCCTACACCTTCCCCGCGGAGGAGGGTGCCGAGAACTGCCTGGCGCTAACGCCGCTGAGAGTGTTCACGGCCCGCGCCTCCTGCCCCAGGATAAGGGACGGTCTCAGGGTTCAGATCTACTCCTTCAGCATCCCGGAGAGCCTGTGCGCGGAGCTGAGGGCGGTGCTGGACGCCTGGCGCGAGGAGCTGGAGGAGGCCTTCGCCGCGCAGAGTGACTTTGTAGATCTCTGCATTTCGAGCGAGGTGGTGTCTCTTCCAGCGGTTGCCTTGTAAAACACAAACTCTGACTTTTCAGCCTGTTTCTCACTTGCATCAGCGACTTGAGGCGAGGGATCTGGTTCCCGTATGCGCGGCCCACTGAGGCTCTCTCAAGAGGTCCCTGAGCAACAAATGCTGAATTTTTCCAGTCTCGGGCCCTGGACCTCGTAGGCCAGTTGCAAATCAAACACGTGTACTTCCCAGAAAACCAGTGTGTGGATGTACATACTCACTGCTACTATGCAGCTTCCATCCAGGCTGCAGAAAAGTAAAGTTTGGGTGTATTTATTTGTGGCAAACAGCTGTGGACTAATAAAAAATTTGAACAACACGGTCTTCTGAATTTGCAAATTTTATTGTAGGCTCCGTACCATATTTACTACTTGTGCGAGGTGGTGTCATGCACCACCTGGTAGCCGAGCCTGCACGTGAATGAGGGCAAGTGCTACTGTAAAACCTGCACAGTTCAGCTCCAAAAGGGGCTTAAAACCCCCGTGTCTGTGGAATTAGTGTGGTGCTGGCAGTGAAAGGGAAGTGGATGTGACTGTGGGGACACTTGGCCACGAGAGTGGCTAGAAGAATGGTGGGCTGAACTGGGAAAATTGCCCACCCAGTTGGGAAAATTGCTCCGTGCACGGGGAGAATATGAGGGGACTCTGCTAAAAAGCCCCCCCCGAGCTGGGTTTCTTTCAGCTATCAGTAGAGATGATGAGGGTTGAGTACCTCCTATTTCACAAGGCAAGAGAATTTTGTAGTCAGCCACCAGGCATGAAAACCAGGGAGCTGGATCCCAAGGGCACAGGATGCCCCGTCCTGCTGCTCTGGCCCTCCCGCCCCCCAACAGCGGCATCTGGAGCAGCTTTGTCCCTCAGCACAACCTTCAACTGACGCAGAATAATCGAAGCAGCCAAGGGAAGGAGCAATCTCCCAGCATTTATTTGCGCTGCGGGAGTTTGGAGTGAGACCAGCTCAGGATATGAACCAAAAGGCAAGTACAAAAGAGCAGACAGTGCAGTGCGGCGGGGGTGCGTTGCTGCCGGTGAAGCAGAAGTCAGTTCCTGCCGTGAAGTCAGTCATCGAGAAGGTCCTTCATGGTCTGTAACTTGCAAGGAAGGTGGCTATGGCCATTGCTATCACTGCCACCAGGAGAGGGATCCAGTGACCGCGCTGTCTCTGCAAGAAGCAAGTGTTACTAGGAGATTGGTGGGGAGAAGAAACTTCTCCTCCCATCCCCAGCAAACATGTCATTCGTCTTTCTGCACTGCACAAATACATGGGGGAATTTTTCCCAGACCGATCTGCAGCCTCGGTCCAAAAGCACCGGGGGTCGGGGTGAAGACCACCTCCCACCTTTGCCTGCTTGCTCTGGAAGCGGTTGAGCTCGTCCCGGCACTGGCGCAGCCTGGTCAGGCAGGAGCGGTACTCCTCGCTCAGGGCCTCCAGCTCCGAGCGCAGCTCCTTGCACTGCAAGCACAGCAAGGGGCCGTTAGCAGGAGGGATCCCCCCACTCGTGTACGCACCGAGGGCGGCAGGGCTCCCGCAGCAGCTGCAGCGCTTCGCCCACGCACAGGCGCTGCGGCGATGGGGGATTTTCGCTTCTGCTACCTCTACGTCCGTATGTACCTACAGGGGACAGAGCAGAGCTCAGTGTTACTGGGAACCTGGTGGTAGAAGCAGTGCCCGGTCTGTTAGCATCCCATGACCTGCTTGGCTTTGCTGCCATCTTTCACATCACATGGGAGAAAAAAAAAAAAAATAATTATTTTTTATGGCCACAGGTGTGCGCAGATCAGGATGAAGACATGGAGTGCAAACTTATGGCAGGTTTCTCCTCTCATTCTGAAACTCAGTCTGCATTTCACTGACTGCAGGAGCAGAGTCCTTTAAACCTCCTGAACGTGGGACAAAGCACTTTGGTTGTGCTGCACAACCCCAAAGCCCAGGAAATACCTTTTTTCCTGAACAGCAATACAACCTGAAACCCTGCTGCCTTCCTGGCAAGCAGCGTGTCACCAGCAGCAGCCGTGGAAGAGGCTGCAAAAGCCCCCGTGGGGGCAGCTGGGCCCCCCCAGCTGTTCCCATTTGCTGTGATTGCACTTTACAAAACCCTTCCCCAGGTGCTGCCGGGTGATGCCTGATGGGGGTGGTGTGCTCACCAGTGTGGGTTAGTAGGACAAGCTCTTCACTTGTTTGGCTCTAAGCTCTGCTACAGTAAGTTCTAAATCCTTTTTCATAAATCCTTGTTGAATACTGCTGTAAGAACGGTGGGGCTGTTGGTTGGCAGAGGGCACTGTTTGATGGGAAAGAGCATGTAAGAGGCTGAAAACTTTTGAATTTTTTTGCAGCCCAGTTGTAAGGGCACTGTGTTTGTTATAAGCCCATTCCTGTTATTTGCAAGCCTTTTTTCTTCCTCATCTCCCTCCTTTGTGCTCAGGGTTTCAGCTCTCATAGCATGGTTTCGGCTTTTCCCTGTGAGACTGTTGAGGCTCTCCTGTCTGTAACAGCAGAAATGGGTTTGTATGGAGAAGACTCTGCTGCTACAGCCCCAGCTGCGGGGCTGCTTGCACGCAGATGCTGCATCAGGGGCTTAGGTGAGGCTGCTAGCAGGATAAAAATTCAGCAGAGATAATCCTTGCAGGAGTTACCAAATTTAGGTTACTCCCAGGAGCTTTGCTATGTTGTTGCTGGAGCACTTACACCAGCAGCTCGCTCACTCCCCAGCAGGGACCTCGGTCCCAGCCATGATTCAGTGACTTCCTCACCTCGTTCTCCTTTGCTGTAAGCTGGGATGTCCTTCTCTGCATCTCATCCTTCAGACTTTCTTCTCCCTCCTCAGGGTGCTCTAACAGAGCATTTTGTTTTTCCGTGTCAGGAGTGAGAGGTGGGGTCTGCGTGGTGAAAACCTGGTCTAGAAAACAGTCAGGCTTCTGATGAGAAACAGGTCCAGGCTTTCAGTTTGCTTTAGATCTTGTTTACCTAGCACAGTTTAAAGATAATATTTATGTGCCACACGTACAGCAGAGGACCCAGGAGCTGTTAACACAGGCCTGCCTCCGCTGTAGCTACAAGGTAATTATCCTTAGAGGAATATTTCTAAGTAGCTACCAGAAATGGAGGGGAGGGAGAGTTAAAATGCCCTTTATTACTTTTTTTTTTGGAGTACCGCTGTAGTTGCAATTATGAACTGGAATGTATTTTGTTTGGAAAAAAGAAATGGCATGGCTGCTGAAGTAGATTTTGTAATGAAAACCATTTATTTTTTAAAGTGTTTGCAATCATAAATACACTTATGTTTTAATGTTAACTAGCAAAATATAATAACTTGCTTTGCGCAGCTTTAAAATAACCTTTTATTCTAAACCAAAGTAGACTTCTCCTAGAGTCAGGTCTAACATTCCTGTGTCCAGTGAGAGGAGTGCTAGGTGGGAGTTAGAAAGTTTGCTGACCTTTCCTTTGCACCGTCACCTCCTGGGTCTTCTGTTCGTTGGCCTGGTTCTGTATCAAGTCTGTGAATGTAAAAAGCTGCTGTAATTGTCCACAGGGCGAACGCCGGCCTCTTACTTTGCGCATCTTTGTGTTACTCACTGTGCAAATGGCTGATTGTTGCCTCCAGTGTTACCTTCTGATTTTGTTCTTCTTGCAGTTTATCTGAAATAATGATAGAAGAAAAATCAAGGTTGATGTAAATCTCTGTGTATCTTTATGAAAGGATGGCAACTTTCCCTTTCTCGTGTGTAAAGAGGAGTGGATATTGTTGGTTACTCTGATCTTTCTTCTCTGAAGGGATGTGATTTTTAGCTGTTAATTGCCCTTTCAGTTTTGGCAGCTTTTTCTAGTGTGCCTTGCATTCTATTAATTTATAGTTTATTTTAAAGCTGTTCTTGTGAGACCTGTTACGAGAACAGCACTGCCACCTCTTTACTCTTCCTTAATTATGTTTTAAAATAGCCATGTGAAGTATGTGTTAGTTTCCTTTCCTCTATCCAAATTGGTACTTTAAGACACTGTTAGCATGTATTTATACACTGGTAGTATCAACCACGGTGCAGCAGCACCCCAGACAGTAACAGGCACTGCCTCGCCACCCGAGCTCACTCGCATTGCTGTGTTTGATGGGTCTGACAAGGATGCAAAAGTCCTCATCAAAGCTGAGGACCCATCTTTGATTTTTTTTTTTTTTTTTTCAGGTCTTCCATTATTTTATTCTAGAAAAGTCACTTGACTTTAAAGTCCTTTAATCCGGTTGGAAATGAGTTTAGGAGCTATTTGGAAAAGGCTTTCTCGGCAAGCTGCGCGCGGCACATTCAGAGAGGGTGAGCCTTTTGTGTGCATGTCTACTTGGCTTCCAGGACCGGGATGTTAAGAGTATTTCCCGTATATGCTCTGTTCACGTGGAGGACAGACTCTCCCCACCATTCCCCAGCACTCGATACCTTTGATGGCGCCGATGTGCCGAGCCTTCTGGTCGTTGTCCTCCCGCAAGGCGCTGGCTTGCTGGTGGAGCGCGGCGTGCTCGCTCTGCAGGCTGTGCAGGGCTCGCCGGAGCTGCTCGCCCTGCGCGTCTGCTCGCTGGGGGGGTGAGAAGAGCCCCGGCATCGTCACCCCAGCCCCACGCCACGAGCACGCAGCGTCGCCGGCTTTCCAGCAGCGAAAAGCAGCCACGAGCCGAGGACCGGGTTGCGCGTGTGGCCACTGTGCTTCATCGAGGGGGTTTTCTTACTATCAGTGATCTCAACCCGGGGGCTTCCCTGCTTGCAAACTGGAAAACGCGAACTCCCGTGGATGCTGTTCCCGTGGGGGGCGAACGTACCTGCAGTTCGCTTTGCAGAATGTGGAAGCTGTTCTCGAGCTCGGTGTGTGCCGTGGTCATCTTGCTCAATTCGGCTTTGAGCGTGGTGTAGTGCTCTTGCCAGAAGGCAAGGTCCTCTCTCATCGCTGCCAGGCTTCTCTGGGGAGGGGAGGAGAGGAGGGACCCCTGGGTGGGCTGTGACCCACGGTCCCAGGCTGCCCCGAACAATGTCCACGGGCACTTGCGTGGGCTGGGGCAGCGCTGCCGCCTCCCGCACCCGGGTGTTAACAACCTGCGTGGGGCTGGTGCCATCTATGGACAGAGGCCTGGCTGTGGAACCCCAGCTCCCCTGCCGCCGGCAGGATTTAGAAAGCTGGTAATCTCTGAGATACAATTGATTTATTATTCTGAAAATATCAGCTAGTAATTTGGGTTGAGCCACGGGACACCTGTCGGGGAAAATCCATTTGCATATAAAAGAGTCAGTCCAGAAAAAGGGTCTCTGGAGACCTCATGCCCTGGGTGTCTGTGTGCGTGGATTGCTTCTCTGTGTGTACAGAGCAGGGAATGGGAAGAAGAGATGGTGGAGGAGAAGGGATTACACTTCAAACTCTACAAAAGCAGCATATTTCCCCAACTGTGTACTGTTTTTAATAACCTGATGTGTGGCTCACAAAATGGGCACAGGTTGCCACTAAAATGCTTTGGACTTTGTTCAGTAGCTAAAAAATGGGGGTTCTTTACTAATGGTAAGCTAGCCATTGCCTTCCCCTGAAATGTGGGGGCTCTTTGTCATAGTAGGAGTAGATTAAAGCAAAGCCAGTTTAAAATGTTGCTTACTTGGGAGTTTTGCAGCTGCTGCTCTGTTTGGAGTTTATCCTCCAGCATCTTCTGAAGAGCCTCTTTAGCCTTCTGCTCGTAGGTCTGCTTCTGGTCCTCCATCTCTATCAGGATCTTTTTCACACACTCCTTTGAGTAACTCTTTAAAGGAAGAATTAAAGTGCTTGAAAGGTCTTATCTGACATATTCCTGATCGTGCTAGGCCTGAATATTAGCAAATCTAGAGTGTGTAAATTCTGCTGGTACGTTGCTGTGAAACATTGCCTCAGCAAAGAGGAAAAATCATTTTCAGATCTGTATCTAATCAGATTGCTCTAGAAACTGAGACCCAGCCTAATTACATGGTTCAGTACTTTGTTTTCATGCCTTTTTTCACTCATGTTTGGTTCTCAGTGAATCAGAAATTACCTGGGTGCAGGCCTGCAGCTGATTTTCAAGTGCCCTTAGTTTACACTTCAGTTTATCCTCGTTCAGCTGGCCCTAGGGAAAAAACAATTGAAGTGATGTGTGGAATCATGAACTATACAATATGCCTCCTTCAGTGTTTTGTTAGCTTGTGTTTTGATTCACTTTCTCCCTTTCCTTCATCTATAATATTGTGGCTAAATTTGGTCAAAGCCTTTTCAATGCTTAGAGTTCAAATAAACCTTCACGGTCTCAGAATAAATGGGATATGGGGGAAGCAAAACTTCTATGCATTGCAAAACTCTCCCGAGGCAGTTGCACTGGCTGCTGAGTGCAGGTACTTGCAGTGAGATGAGCGGTTAGGAGCGAGAGGGTTTCAGGTTAGTCTGGATGGGTCTGGCAGAAGCCTCGCTCTGCCTGTCCCCACGCACAGCCCTGCTCCTTGGCCCCTGGTTCCTCCCTGCAATGCTCCTGGCCTAAAGCTCCAGCTGGTGCTGAGGTCTTGTCTTGCTGGTTCCCTTGGGAAATAGGTTGTGTCTGTGTTGCAACACCTAGCAGTTGTGCAGGGGGATAGAGGGCAACTGTGATGATTCATTTTCCTTATTATAATCTCCTCTCAGTGTTAGTCAGGCTTCTTAGGTTTTGTGAAACCAGACTGCATGCAAATTCAGATAAAATTTCTAGCAAAGAGTTCACGTAGGCTGTTTTTTCCACCACTGATACTGAGAATGCTGGTATCCTCTCTGCTTACTGCTGTTTGAAGTCAAGCCTCTGAAAAGCAACTCCTTGATGTTACAGTAATAGCTGTTAGACCCAAGCAAAACCAGATTCTCTGGTGTCTTAGCACTGTTTAAATTTGCACAGAAGTAAGTTTACAGTCCCAAAGACTAAATCTTCCCAGTTCGGTTGTTGGTACAAAGAACTACAGGCTCTACCCTTTCAAAGTAGGTGGACTTTCAAAAAGCATTTTTGTATGTGAAATATTATGCCTACTTTTCCTCTGCAGTTTGCTTTATTCTACTGTCTGCAAAGGTTCATGTTGGAGGGTGGTGGTGTTATGGCTGTTGTGCACAGGTGTAACTGTGCAAAGTACAAGGCAACAGAGCACTGGGTCCTTCCTACGCTTCAGAGCAGAAATGTGCTGGCAAACTCCTTTCATGGAGATGCAGCTTATAAATTGGCAAAAGAACACGGAGGATAAAGATTTCCCTAAATGGAATAAGCTGTCTGTTAGGGCTGTTACCAGAACAGCATGGCAGCGAGGGGTGAGTGTGTGCACATATGTGGGAGGGCATAAGAAATTCTGCTTCTGACCAGAAATTTTATGTGAGCAAATCTTGGTCAAGCTCTTGTGTTAGATTATCTACATGAAAGGGGCTGCTTTTTTTTTTTTTTAAAAAAAAAATAAAAATCAAAACACAAAAAACCCTTAACAAAATAAACAAACAAAACCCCCACCTGTATCTAAACAAGATACCAAAGACCTCCAAACCCTACAGCCACCATCATCTCCTGGTGGTGGTTGCGCCTCTGTCCTGCACTGCGCCTTTCCAGAGAGCCCCAAGGCTGGATCCCAGGCAGAGGGGAGGGTTAGCACTACCATGCTCAAAATACACCTGCAAATACCGGATTTGAATCCTCTGTAGCCCTCTTCAGGGAATCTGAGGGTACCTGTATGGGCAGCTTCAAAACCTCTCTCACACTCTTCTGCATTTCTCTACCACTGTCATTCAAGTGCCATGTAAGTATTTTAAACCTGTCTTGGCTGACAGCTGTAGCGTTGTGGTTGTCCTGTGATTGGTGAACTCTCCGATACTCCTTCCCTTAGTAATTTTAAATAGCTGGTTTAAAGCAAGAATAATAAATGCTGTTTCTGAAATGCTTCCAGTTTGCCCAAACATGATGCTTGTGCTAGAAAAATAAGTCCATATAGTAGTAGTAATGCACTAGAAATGACACAGCTTAAACTCTGCAGAGCTGCAAGGTACTTCCAAAAGTCAGGCTCAACTTCAGAGGTCAGGAAGGGAAGAAAATATGTTAAGTGGCCATTTGTTTCCTTATGAAGAGAACAGCTTAAAAATAATTACTCTTAATAATCATAACTGAGACTTAGTTAGCTTCCTTCATCTGGCAGCATTTTCCAATCAGCTGAGCAAGTTTTACAACAGATGGAGGGATTTAAGGTACAGACCTGTGGTAGGAAGGTCTCTAACTAGGAGTAAAATCATGGGAGGGGGGAAGGAACAAAATGCTTTATCCCTTCAGTTCAACACCACCCCCATCCTCCTGCGGAGTATTCACTTGCTCCGTCACGCCAGAAGCCCCCACGCCTCACCAGTGACTCTGTGGCTGTTTCAGGAGTTACTGCCGTAGTGTTCCTGTGTACGCGACAGCATTTCTTTGAAACCCGAATTATTAGCAAGGATAAAAAGCAGCTGCGACAAGCTTTTGGCATCTCACCTGTGCCTGGAAACAGGCAACCAACTGTCACTTACCACGGCACAGCGTTATGGTGTGGGACCTGTCCGTACCCCCTGGAGAAGCCCCTTGCCCCCAGCCCCAGCTCCCCGCGGGTCCCCTCCAAGCAGCCACTTCTGCCTCCTGTGCCCCCTTGGTGCCAGTGGCAAATTAATTCTTAGTCTGATGAAAGGCTGAGCGCAAGAGGCAGCAGCAAAGTGTCTCTTCTGTAGCAGAGAGAGCAAGAAGCAAAGTGCACCCACCTGTTTCTAATCTGAGGTTTCATGGCTACTTCTTGCAGAGCGTGTCAGGGTGTTTTTTCCTGCTCATATTATTTGAAGCAGCAAGCGAAGGCGGAAGTTGCTAACCGCAGAACATCTAACACAAGTTTTTTTTTTTTTTTATATACCATCTCACCCAATCACTCACTTTTTTGCCCCAACAGAACTTTCAAACCACTTTTTTTTAATGGCACAATGAACTGTAGATTAGTATTAATTTTAATAATCCCATGTAAAATATGTCATATGTTGTGGAAAATACACCACCTTAATTTTGCGTCCTGATAGCAAAAAACCATGGGCCCTTGTTCAGTGCTGCCCGGAGAATTTAGTCTGAGCTGTGGGGAAATAGTTTGGTGCAGGATCATGGTTCAGCAGAGCCCCTCAGGCTGAGCATTGTGGTGCTGGGTCCCCTGACCTGTGTTTGGGGCCCAGGATACGGCCCCGAGAGGGCTGGGGGCAGGGGTGGGTGTGGGGATGTCCCGGCGGCCCGGGCGAGGAGCGGGCTGGGTGGCCGGGGGCTCGGCAGGAAGGCTGCAGGTGCTGGGTGGGGGTTTTTAGCCGTTGTGTTCTCAGATTAACAATTGGTCTGTTTTTTCCCCCATCCAGTGTGGTGTTTGCCAGTGCTTGGGTGCACCGCTTCGGTGCATCTAAAATTTTTATTTTTGGGGAAAAAAAAAAAAAAATTGCTTCAAAGTATTTGAAGCTTGTTTTGACTAGGAAAGAAAAGTTGGTGGAAGATGGTTGTTTGGGTTTATTCCAATTTTTTTTTCCCCATTTACACAATTCTGCTTGCTTTTTATTTAAGAAAAAGTAGAAAAGGCAAGCATAAAATAGACCCCCAAACTTTATAGAAGGGTTTTATAGTTTCTGTTGATCTGTTACAAAATGTACTTTGCTTTCAGTCCTTTGGGGCACAAAAGGGGAAAACTTCAAGCAAAGTGACCCCGTAACTTCTGAGTTTGTGTTCAAACCTCCCTAAAAAGAAAGGTGCCAGCAAGGGAAGAGGCAGAGCAAGCAGCTCCCCGCAGGTGAAGGGCTCTGCACGGTGTCTGCTGGGGGACACCGCTGCATCCTGAACCTGTAACATCTCCACGCCTGCAACGCACCGAAGCCCGGCGGAGCTGGAGCTTGGCTCGGAGGGAGAAAGGGAGGCCCGGGGGCTGCTCTGGTTTCTGCACCCGAGCCCGGATCTGCCGAGGCAAAGCCTCCCCCAGCCCCAGCAGGAATAGCCTCGTGCAGCGCTCGGGTACCTGCCAGGATTTTTCTGATGCTTGCAGCAGCGTGGAGAGAAGCTCCTGCAAAATCACCATCTTCTGCTTGAGCAGCAGCTCACGGTGCAGGGCCTCCTGCGGGGAAGGGGAGAGCTGGTCAGCGGGGAACCCCCAGAGCAGACAGGGACCCCCCCGACTCCCCTCTCCAGCTCAGGGTCAGGCCTTCTGCCACTCTGGGGGTTTCAAACAGGTCTTTGGGGTCAGTGGCTTATCTGTAGGCTTTCTTGGCCACATTAAAATTGGGCGTGTAACACCCCTTCATTTAATAAGTTTTAAAGTATTACTGTACTTGCCGAAGACCTGCTTTCCCAGTGGGTACTTGGCAATATTTGGTACCTACCTTCAGGTAGTTGGACAGCTGCACCATTTCCTGAAAGGGAAAGCACAGATGTTTAAAAACATTAGGATTGTTTCAGTTTACAAACATTTTATGAACTGGCTACAAATTCCAAGTATTTTGAAATACACCTGACGTTCCCAGTCTATATTTGGGTGGAGGAGGAGACCCTGTTGAGGTTTGTTTTTCCAGGGAAGTGAAAATATTTTCTGCAGCAATTTACAGCATTGGAGTTATGGCATCTTTGCCATGTAGTGTATCAAATCAGGGCAGTTACTGAATGAGAACAGTCGATATCCGTGGGGCAGAAATGCCTTTCTCTCCTATAGCAGCAGTGTCATTATTTTTGAAACGATAGAAATGTAACACCAGTCAGAGGTTTTAGAAACTGATTTCATTTGCAGGAGTGTAGGGCTAGTTATTATCTGTGTTTTACTTACCTTATTTAAAACTGCTATTCCACAACTAAAATAAAAAAAGAGAGCGTGTTAGTGAGGTGAGTGCCGTGCAGGGGTCTGCAGCAGTCCATGGCTCTGGACACCAGCTGCTGCCCCCAGCCCGGGCAGAGTTGTGGGCACTTGCACAGCAAAAGCTTGTGCCGAGGTGAAACGTGTCTGGGCTCGAGCACCGGGGGCTGCTGCCCTGCGGGTGTCCGAATTCCCAGCCCAGGGAAGGAGGAAGGCCTGGCTCACTCTGTCTGCTGGCTCGAGTCTTTTGCTCCTGCGTTTGGATTTGTAGGGGTCTGGGTTCCTGTGAAAGCAAAGTGAAAAGATGTGAATGATCCCCCTGTCCGAGGGGCCAGGAAATTCTATTTCAGTGTCAGATGGCATCGCTTCTAGGATGGAGAGCAGTTGTTTTAACAGCGTCCAGTAACACAACTAAGTAGGGCCAAGAGGCAAAGAAGAGTCCTGCTGGGATGGACAGAGAAGTGGAAGTAATCCCACAAACTGCCGTTAGCCCCCAGGCCCCTGGATAACGTGGGGCACTCACAGGGAAGCTGTGGGACGCAGCATCTGCTCAGCAGTGCTGGTTGTTAAGCCATGAGCTGGGCTGGTTTGTCCCTCCACAGGAAGAATTCTTAACACCTGCATCCTGCAGGGGAAACAGTCTGGGATGGAAAACTCTGCAGGAGTGGGGCTGCTGGCAGGGGAGCTTGGGCTGGAGGCAAGATACCAGCTCGTGTTGGAAACCGCTCGATGGAGACTTAGGAGTGGGAGGGAAATGCCACGGCTGCTGTTGTGCTGGGAGACCCGAGCATCCCTCACCTACCTTGGGTGTTGAAAGAGGCACCTCGCCTGGGGATGGCTTCTGCTGAAATGCTGAAGGGGACGCTGAGGCTGAGCAGGGAGGGTGCAGGGGGAAACACGGGGCAGCTCCACTGGTGCTGGAATGAGAGGGCAGCTCGAGTCAGCATCTCTCCAAAATGGGCTGTGAGGAATGGAGGGGAAGAGGCTGTGGCTGGGTCAGGCTTTGCACCTGCAGTGACTGGGTAGAGAGCATCAGGGAGATGCTGGGAGACCGTGGCAAATCCACAGGGATCTGCTGCTTTGGCTGCAGCAGCTCCAGAGCTCTGGGGAAGTGGAAGAAAACCTGCTGGCTTCTGGGGGCAGGGCAGGGAAACATGACACACCAGAGCAGGACAGGGAACCCCCAAAAAGTGTCTTGAGATGTTTTTGGAAAAGTTGAGGACTTTTGGTGGCAGGGAGCTGGGTCTTGGCTTGGGCCTCTGCTACCATTTGGCTGCCTCGGAGTAGAGGCACCTGTTCTGCACTGGCTTCGTGCCGGGGCTGGGGGAGCAAAGTGCTCAGCCCATTGCCCCTCTGCCCCCCCCTCCTGCCCCTTGTTACCTCTGCAAAAGCAAACAGAGGAAGGCACTGTGCGCGGGCTGAGTGCATGTAAATGCTTGTCCCAGATTCCTGCTGTCTAGCAGATGATTAAACCCAGTGAACTAAATGGCAGCTGGAGTAGGTAATTGCCCTGCATGATCTTGCACTGCAAAGGGAGCCGGAGGGCGTGCCTGTGGAGGTCACCTCGCGTCCCACTGCCTCTGCTCGGGTGGATTTGTGAAGCCCCTAGGCTGGACTCACAGCGTACAGGGGCAATTGTTCATTCTGCATGGGGTGTAAGGTTAGAAGGAAGTCTGCTTGGCTCTCAGGTTGGGGTGATTTGCACTGCATCTTTCTATAGATGTTATTCAAGGCAGCGAGTCCCCTGTGCAGCACAGGGTAGCTAATGAGTACCAGGGAGTCTCCGAATTCCTGCACCCTTCCTGCTGACAATGAAGGTGATGGAGGGAAGCCAGATGTTTAGAGCTCAGTCTTCAAAGGTAAAAATAATTCGTGTCAGTGCAAAAGTGTAATCTGGCGGCTAGGATGGGGGGTTGTACTTGGAGGAATGGCAGAAAAATCTGTCTGGTTCAGGGTTTGGAAGAAGGAGAGGAGCACACCGGGAGGGAGATGACAGCGTTGGGCTGTGCCCAGCCCTGCAATTCATAAGGAAATGTGCAGGTTTGTGCATTTTCACTTGTTGGTTGTGCTTTGATTTGGATCCTGATGCTGCCGGGATGGGCGGGCAGGCTGTGGGTGCTGCCGTGGGTGCTAGCCAGAGCTCGGGGGGCAGGCGTTACCTGGAGCAGCACGGGCGGCCTTGGATCCACCCGCAAGGAGCCATCCTGGGGCAGCTCCTGTCCGGGCCGTGTCCTTCCAGCGTCGCTGGCCAGGTTTCTCCTCCTCAGGAACTCCCTTTGCCGGGGGCTCTGCGGCGGCCCCTCCGCTCCCCTCCCGAGGTGGCGGCAGGTCGTCACGTTGTTCCGTCGCCGCAGGTTCTCCCGCGTCTCGTGCCGCCGCTCGCACTTCTCATCGTAGCTCTCGCTCGCGTGCCTGTGCCGCGGCCGTGCCTTCTCGGGCTGGCTGATCATGTTGGGCACAGCTCGGCTGGTCTGCGACCGCCCCAGCTGCTCTGGGGTCCTCTGTCCTGATGAAACCAAGGGAAAAGACATGATTTGAGTGAAAACCAATTATTTTTAAGATTAAGTGAATGTGAGGTATCGAATGCCGATTCTGGAGTCCTGATGCAAGCAGAGTTCCTGGAGCTGTTGTCCATGAAGTGTGTGTATTGGCTGTGTAAAACACACTGTGCTGTTAGTGCTCCTCTGCCGGGTGGGTGCTCACCCCGGGGGATGCCGGGAAGAGAATTTCAAACAATTAACGCAACCTCATGAAGTTGGCCTCGCTACCAAGTAATGATGCTTCCACTGGTAGCATTTCTTTCCTGACAAAATGAAATCTCTGTTATTCGAACTGATTCTTTTGTGCATGCTGTTATGCTGGCTGAAGAGCTATAAAGAAAACAATGAAAATGCAGGAAGAGCAAGAGCTGTTATTTCTGCAGTACACTTTGAGTGTGCGTTTCTTTTGCATTTTTTTTGATAAGTCCAAATACAGTGGTGCTGTGGGACTTATTCTTCAAGTAGTTGCACCCCATTCCTTAGTGGTGGCTGCCTGTTCTGTGTGCACAGAGGGCTCTGGAGCAGTGAAAACCTCGTGGTGTTGTAGGGGTCAGGGGTGTGTGTGTGTGTGTTTGTTTGCTTGTTTTTCCAATGGAGTATCTGGCAAAGCCCCTGCAGGTCTGAGCACAGCCACTCTCTGAAGACCACAGCTACAGAGTGCTGCTTTCCCTTGCCCGCTGGTTGCTCCCGCCTTCCCCAGCTCTTGGGTTGGGTGCTGGGGGACACTTTGCTTGTTCACTTTGGTGTGTCCTCCCCCCAGCCTGGCTGGCTGCAGCCCTGGGCCTGTGCGTTAGCCCAGCTGTGACTCGGTCCCTTCATTGCAAATACCAGTGTAGCAACTGATCCTTACGCCTGGGGATTAATTCACTGGGGAGCTGTGCTCAGGAGCTGGGGGCACGGGCTCTCCAGGGTACCAGTTTGCCTCAGGCACGAATTCTGCCTCCATTCCTGCGGACACTGTGGCCCAACCAAGGCAGCGGCTTGGCCAAAGGAGGAGCTCCTCCATTTCAGCATTATTGCACTGTTTATGTGCGCATGCAGGACATAGATAAGAAACCTTCTCCTTCCTGCTGACATCTCTGCACCCTTGCAAGCCACCAGTGCGTTCTTTTTGTACTGGACTTCGGTCCTATCGAGCGTATTTGGACCTTTGCCTCTGCATCAGTTAGAGAAAGCTGAGCAACAGCTACCTACAACTGCTCCTTTTACTTCCTCCCCTCGAGCAAAAGCTGTGTCACCCTCCCCTGTCCCCTCACCCCCTCAGCAGCAAAGAGGCTCATCATCCCCGTGCACATCCCACAAACATTGCTCTGAGGGTGCCTGGCCCTGGGGGCTGCTGTGACTGCGTGTGCTGTGGGGCCTTTCTCATATTTAGTAAATCATGTTAATGTAGGATGGGGGGGTGGGGGGAAGAATTCTAGTCTCTGAAAATTCAGGTTAAATGTTCTTCAGTATCATACCACCAAAAGGTCATTGCTCTCATTCTGTCCCAAGCAATTAGGAAGTTGTTGAGTCTAATGGGAAAAAAAAATGGGAACAAGTAAACTCCATTTACATCTATAATACTTCTGTGCCTTTTAGTCTGCATTAAAATCTGCTCCATAATTCTTTTTATTGTCCTGTGCTAGCTGTGGTGTGCTCAAAGCTCATTACTAGTGCCATGTTTTCACTGCAGGGGCTTCCTTTGGAAGGAGAGCAGTGCTTTTGGGGTGGTCAGCTCTTGCTCCAGACGGGGGGGGGGGGTGGTGCCTGCAAACCCCCAGCCAGGACACTGCTCCCAGCGCTGAGCCCGCATGGGATGTGGGCTTCAAGACTCCCGAAGTATGGCACTCGCTTATGTGCTCTTATTAATTTTCTATTTGAATATGCTTTCTTCAAATGGCTTCTGAAGCATTTCTAATTTTAGCTTACATTTCCTGAAGGATCCCAACAGTATTTCACTGTTCACGTGTCTCTCATCACGATGCAGCTGGAGGAGTCTGGGGGGTATAAAAGGCTGAGCAGGGTATTCCCGTGCAGCTTCCATGTCTGTACCACAACAACCCCCTGTGCTCGCCCAGGGCCTTGCCTCTTGGTGCACGCGTGTTTTCCTTGGCCCCGCAGGCACTGCAAGGCCTGGCCAACAGCTCCAGAGAAATACAAGTCGGGTGTACGCCGACACCCCGCAGCATGCTTCCTTGAAGCTGGGTACGACCTCCATAGCTTGGGACAAAGCGTGTATCTACAGCCAAACTGCTCTCAACTCTTCAGGATGCTTTGTTTTTTCAGCTAATTTTTCTTAATTTTAGAAATGGCCCAACTGCACCTTCAATCCGGACCTTGGATGTCCTGCGTGGTCCCCACTCATCTAGCTCTTCCCATCAGGAACAGCTCAGCCCCTCTCCCACCTGCGCTGCCTCTGGGCTGCCCAGCCTGTCACAGAGCATCCCCAGAGCAGCTCTTGTAATAGCCTCAGTTAACCAAAAATGGGCTTTAAAGCAAGGTAAAACTTAAAGAAATATAGTCCATTACTCACCCCAAGCTGAGCAAACTGTAGAGGCCTTCTTGACAATCTAATACTCTTATTTCCTCCTTCTGTTACCCCAAATTTTCCTCTCTAATTAACAAACATGTCCTTTAGCTTTGCTTTCCAAGCTGTTACACTTCTTGCTTCAAGGGAAACAAAAAAAAAAAAAAAAAAAAAAAAAGAAAATGCTTCTTGCTGGTTCATGTTACAGCCTCCCGGTGTCAATCAAGTAGGCTGAAAGCGGGGTGAAAAAAGAGGAAAAAAGGTGCACGGGTGCTGCCTTTAGCACGGCAGCCTCGGCTCCCCTCCGTCCTTCATCAGCCCCGGCGCTGCGGGCACTTACCCGGCCTGGGGGGTCCCGTCCTACCTCTCGACTGCTGTGGAGGAGTGGGGTGAGCGGGGGGCTATCGGGCACGAACACGCTCCAACTGCCATCTTCGTGCCAACCACCTCATTTTGCTGCTCTCACTCTTTTTCTCGCTCTGTAAAACAGGAAACGTTGCAGCTGCAGCCGAGCCCCGGTTCCTGTCTGTGCTCCCAGCCCGGCTGCGGGGCGCGGGGGCCCGGCTTGTGGGGGATTTTGGGTTATCTTGGGGACCCCAAAGTCTCCAGCTTCTCTCTAAGCAGAGCGAGCAGTTATCTTTTGGGCCATCTCCCTTTATCGGTCTCCAACACGTGGAGGTCGAGTGCTGGTTCACGGCGCTGCTTGTGCCACTCGGTGACTGAGTCTCCCCGAGCTGCTTTGGGGTAGAGAAATCCAGACTTAGGGAAGTACAGTAATGCTATTATTTGAAGGCTTCTTGCAGATTGGATAGGAAAAAAAGTGTGTATCGGCAGCTGAGGAGAGGTCACCAATGGCAGAAATTCATTAAGGTCTTTAGAGAAGTGAAAACTGTGTTGATGCAAATCATGCAGGGAGGTCGGTTTAACCAGCTGGGCGCTGATAAGGGCTCTGTGCCTATGCATGTGGAAAAGGAGCACAAGTAAAAGCAGAGATCTCAGAAACTAACATAGGATTTATTTTTACAAAGACCAGCCTAGAATGGATACATGACAAAAAATTTCCCTGTTCAAAGACGCTCTCGTGGCTTTGGGTGGCTTGTGCTGCTTGGCCCAAATCCTCGTTCTGGGCCGTGGCTCGGCTCGCGTCCCGCAGTGCTCAGCACCGCTGCCCGCGTGGCTTTCGGGGGGGGGAAACAGTTTCTGGAGGTTGAGCAGGAAAACCTGCTGGTGAGCTGGACACTGGCAGCAGATCCTGCTGCCAGGCGCTTCTCTGAAGTGCCTCTTGGTCGGAAAAAAACAGTTGCAAGAGTTCGTTACTAAAAAGGACGTTTTGATGCGGTGTGGTGTAGGCTTCTGGTGCATCCAGGGTGCATCAGCGTGGGGCTGCGCCGGTGGATGGAGAAGGGCACCCGAGCAGCTGGATTAACACCCGAATCCCTCGTGCCTGGCCCAAGGTGTCTGGGGGCTACGTTCTTCTGATGTTTTCCAAGTTATAGTTGCTCCTGACGAGGGAGTCGAGGAAGTCGGGGGCTATGGCCCGCAGGAGGAGCAGGCTGCCCACCGCCCGGGGGGGGTAGTGCAGCTCCCGCTGGCGCAGCACCCCGCTCTTGATGATTTCCAGCGCGCACTCCTCCCTGGGCGCCGGCGTGTCCCGGATGGCGTGCGAGACCGCCCGCACCGCGCTCTCTGGAGGGACGGGAGGAAGGAGCAGTGTCAGACGGGGGGGCTGCCGCAGTTGGGGTGTCTGTAGCTTCCTCTAACAGACCCACAGACTCTGATCAGACCTACTTAACGTGGCTTAGAATGGTTAAATAGCAATGATGGTGATGGCATTCCCCTTCCTTTCCCCATCTTGAGTGACCATAGGACGGAATCCCCACCTCCCCGGGTTTACTGCAAGTCAAAGGCCCCAGGCCATGCTTTTGAAAGAGCTGGGGTCCCGTTTGCACAGTTGCAGGCTGTGGGCCCAGCTGAGGCGGTGAAGCAGCATGCTGAGCAGCCCGGGGCCAGAGGGTGGGTGATGGGCTGGGCTCGGCTCTTCTGGAAACACACGGAGTCGCAGGGCCCCAGGGATGCTGAGCTTACCCGTGTCGATGTAGCCCAGGATGCAGAGTGTGATGGAGACGTTGACCTTGTCTACGATGAATTCATGTCGCAAGGAGCTGAAAAATCCGTCTAAGGCGAACTTAGTAGCAGAGTAGGGAGCAACAAATGGGCTACCAATTTTACCTGGAGCAGAGACACAACATCAGGGTTTTTATATTGGGCAGACACCAGGCTGCACGGCTCTCCCTTCCTCTTGCCCATCGAGTAGCTACAATATTGTGATTTAAGGTGACAGAATAAGCTGTCACAGATGCTTGAGAGAAATAAACGAATGCAGGAATGTAACATTAAAATGTAACATATGGCATGAAATACCTTCAGCTGTGGGTGATCCTGTTGTATTCCTGCACATATATAGCAAATGCATGTGTAATATGTGGCCATGCATATAAAATAACCTGCAGTGGTGTACCATCAGCTGCAATGCATGAAGGTGATAAGTGGGTGCAGAGAGACTAGCAGGACAGGGCATAGATTATAAATCCCCCAGAGGACTTGAATTGTGCAACCAGGATATAAAATGTATGCTGATCCCAACTCCCAGCGGGGTGGCTTATGGTCCTTGTTCTGTGTTTTGAAGAGCCGCAGGAGGGATCCCTCGCAGGCGGAGGCAGGGCCGTGGGCAGGGAGAGCCCGGCCCCTTGTGAGCTCACCCGCCACGGACGAAACCACAACGATGCTGCCCTCGCTCTCCTTCAGCATGGGCAGGGCAGACGTCGTCATCGCCACGTAGCTGAGGAAGTTGATCTCCAGGAGCTTTCGTACGTGCCCAACGTCCCCGTTGAAGTAGTTGAAGTAGCTGTAACCGATGTGATTCAGAATGAGCATATCGAGGCCCCCTGCAAGCAGAGCGCGTTTGCTATTAGCAACCGGCATCTCAAAACAAAGCAGCTTCTTGGTGGCCAGGATGGCCCCAAAATGTAGCGTGAGGTGTGTTGGGGTGTGAGAGGGGGCAGCTCCCCACCACCTACCCCAGGTGTTCTCAGCCTCCCTCAGCACCACCTCGGCGAACGTGGTGTCCTCCATGGAGCCGCTCACGTAGCGGGCGGACGCGGCACCCAGCTCGAGGCACCGCTCCACAACCTGCAGCGGGAAAGGGTGTTGGCAGTGGGCTCCCCTCCACGGACCCCCCCCTCCCGCAAAGGCTGTTGCTGTATCGGGGCGGATGGGCAGTGCCTCTCCCTGCCTCTTCATGGGAGGAAAAGCATCGCTCAGAGAAATGTTTCTGGCTGCAGAGTTAAACAATGGCACATCTGAGCCCAATATTTAGTATTTATCAATAGGGATATGATTGCTTAATTTTGATTCTGCTGTATATGGGATGCAAAACCAGTTCAGACTTTGAGCAAGGGCAAGAGTTGGACAGACTAGTGCTGTCCTTGGTGGTGGAGGTCAGAACTCACAGCTGAAGACTGCAGAGGAAGAAATGCCATACATTGATGATGCAATTTGTTGTGGCGGTGGGGGGGGGTGTGTTAGAACAGGCTTGTGCTGGGGAGACGCCAGGGTCATCTGTAGGGTATCTGGCATCTCCGGGCCCAGGGTGAATATCTGCATTCTGCCTGCCTCTGGGCTTCTGGATAGCAAATGTGCTTGGCCAGCCCGGCACGCTCTGCTTGCCATTTACTTTCTGCAGCTTGGCCTCCGTCCGCGCCGTGAGCAGTAGGTGGGCCTCCATGCGCGCCAGGTGATACGCCATCTGCTCCCCGATGCCGCTGCTGGCTCCCGTCACGATCACCCGTTTCCCCCGGAGCATCTCTGGAGAGGAGGGCGCAGAGCTGGGAGCTGGCAGAGCCCCCGCTGTCCCCCCACCCACGGGCACTGCAGCTCCCTCAGCCCCTGCCGCCTTCGGGTGCGGGGAGCTGCTGGCAGCGGCACCGTCCTGTGGCGCTGCTTGTGCAGACCCCGCTTTGGTGGGGAGCACGTGCAAGGCTTGAGCTCTGCATCCAGCCTGGTCTGGGAGCACCTTTTGGAAAGGGTGGGAGTCGACTACGAAAAGGATTAAATGCTTAAAGAGGAAAACTGCATGTTTCCTAAATAAATAATTTATGGAGGTCAGACACTTCCCACGTGTCCCAGCAGACCCAGTGTAATCCTGTGAGCTTTCCTGTGCAGCGCAGGGTGCTCTGACCCCCTGCACCAGGGGCTGCCCGTGGTCCCCGCTGAGCCCTCAGCCCTCCTGCGCTTTGGCTTTTCCAGCTGCGCTTTGCAAAGCCCTTCTGATGGCCTGTCTCTCCTGCGCCGGCGCACGCTGCCGCTCTGGCATCAGCCTCACTGATTGTGCTTTTAAAGCATGTTTTTCCAATGACTTACCTTCGTTGAAATTCTCGGGTGCTGAATAAAAATAAAGGGCCAGCGCCAGTCCCAGCAAGGGGATGAAAATCTTCAGGAGCAGACCCATCCTTCTGCAAAAGTGCAGGCAGGAGCGAGACAAACTCCGCGGCTCTGACTGCAGGGAGGTGGACGAGTCAGTAGGTTGCAAATGGGGCTGGGAGCAGTAGCAGTTTTGATCTGGTTCTTACCTTGTACAAGTTTTCTGGTATGTGTTGGACCTTTTCTTTGCACTTCCTGTGATTGAGCAAACATTAACCTAATGGGGAGTGTTGCTTTGGACTTTAGGCTGTCCCTTTGCACCCTTGCCAAGAGCTCCAGGTGTGTTTTCTGAGGGCGTTGAAGGGAAGGCACTGACAAGCTTCTAGCTCCATAGAGCAGTGGGTGTGGTGTTTGGTGGCTGCCTTTGGGGACCCGTGTCCCCTCGGTGCAGACCTCCACGGGATGGACATCTATTCTCTCTCCATGTCTCAAGAAGAAGCAACACCTCCCTTCCTCACTGGCTGCTCCAGGGTTTAGTGATCAGTCGTATCACTGTGGTACTGGCTCACAGGAGTATCTAGAGAGAGCAGGACTGGAAAAGCTTGTGCTTTTAGACCCTTATCTGGTGCTTCTGGCTTACCCGGCATGATGTCACCATTGGTATAATACTGAGAGTTCGTCGGGTGGCTTTTACACCTCAAAAATTCTACTCTTGCCTTGAGGAATCCACTGATTGCAAAAGACAGTAAAAGAGCCAAGCGGGTGAATAATAAAGATCTTTAGCTTCTCCAAGTGTTGCATGTCACACTGCGCAGCATCTGCCTGGGCATATGGTGAATGGATTTGCAAATAATTTTCTTAAAGGGCGAAACCCACTCTGTGGGCACTGGTTTGTGCAGGCAACTTTGGGAAAAGGAGAACAAAAAATGTCAGTCCCTGACTTCCTTTAGGAAGTGAGGAGCAAACCGGCCCTGAGGAGTGCTGCGGTGGGAAGGGTGATGCGGCAGCTCTGAGTGTCTCGAAGGCATTGTCTGGTTATGCTGTGTCAGAAACTGGCTACCATGTCAGGAAATTTTTGCTTGCAGCACAACCTTGCATTTATTTGTTAAGCTAGCAAATAAGCTAAAAGACCGTTATTCCTGAAGTGAAATAACAAAGGGTTATTGCGGGGATTCAGTGTCTCTGTGCAAGGCAGGTCGGTGGAGTTGTGCACCTTTGCAGCAGCGTTTTAGTGGTGGGGAAAGGGGATAAAAGACCCACAGAACACACGGAGCTCTTCGGTTAGTAAGTTTTATTTAATAATTAGTTTGTCCCTACTTTTCCCTAGTTGGTGGAGGGGACCGCGTCCGGGGGTTGCAGACGCTTCCCCTCCGCCACCCCCGGCCCCTGGGAGCGGGTGCCCATTTCCTGCAAAACCCAAACCAGTAACGCTGCGAAGTGCAAGCAGGGATTGCGGGGGGTGGGGGGGGTGTGTGTGTGTGGGGGGTGTGTGTGTGTGTGGGGGGTGTGTGTGTGTGTGGGGGGGGTGTGTGTGTGTGGGGGGTGTGTGTGTGTGTGGGGGGTGTGTGTGTGTGGGGGGGGTGTGTGTGTGTGTGTGGGGTGTGTGGGGTGTGTGTGTGTGTGGGGGGGGGTGTGTGTGTGGGGGGGGTGTGTGTGTGGGGGGTGTGTGTGTGTGGGGGGTGTGTGTGTGTGGGGGGGGTGTGTGTGTGGGGGGTGTGGGGGGGTGTGTGTGGGGGGGGGGGGGGTGTGTGTGTGGGGGGTGTGTGTGTGTGGGGGGGTGTGTGGGGGGGGTGTGTGGGGGTGTCTGTGTGTGTCTCTGTGTGTCTGTGTCTCTCGGTGTGTGTCTGTGTGCGTGCGTGTGTACTGGCGGGGGGGGGGGGGGGGTTGCTCTGCAGGCTGCCCGCGCCCTCCCCGCCAGCACCGCAGGCCATTGCCCGGGCGGGCACCCCCCCGGGCCGCGTCCCCCGCGTCGCTGCCGGCCGAGTGGGCGGCGTGGGGCGGTTATCCCCGCCGCAGCCCGTCCAGGCGGTACCGGCTCCGCACCAGGTAGTCCAGCAGCTCGGCGGCCCAGTCGCGCAGCAGCAGCGGCAGCCGCGTGGAGCCGTACCGGTAGTAGAGCTCGCGCCGGCGCAGCGCCGCCCCCTTCAGGATCTCCAGCGCGCACTCGGCGCGCGGCGCCGGCGCCACCGCCAGCACGGGCGCGGCCGCGCGCACCGCGGTGTCTGCGCGGGAGGGGGCGGTCAGGGGCGGGGGGGGGGGACTGGGGGAGAGGGGAGGGCAAACTATTGGGGGGACACACTGGGGAGAGAAAACTGGGGGGGGGGGAAGGGGGGGGCAAACTGGGGGCTGGGGGCCACTGGGGAGAGCAAACTGGGGGGGGACTCGGGGGTAAGGGGGGGTAAACTGGGGGGGGGGGGGATGACACTGGGGGAGAGCAAACTGGGGGCTGGGGGGAACTGGGGGAGAGCAAACTATGGAGGGGGAGACTGGGGAGAGCAAACGGGGGGGACTCGGGGGGAGAGGGGGGGCAAACTGGGGGCCACTGGGGAGAGCAAACTAGGGGGGGGAGACTGGGGAGGGGAGTGTAAACTATGGGGGGGACACTGGGGAGAGCAAACTGGGGGGGGACTCGGGGGTAAACTGGGGGGGGGATGACACTGGGGGAGAGCAAACTGGGGGCTGGGGGGAACTGGGGGAGAGCAAACTATGGAGGGGGAGACTGGGGAGAGCAAATGGGGGGGACTCGGGGGGGAAGGGGGGGTAAACTGGGGGGGGAGAGGGGGGGCAAACTGGGGGCTGGGGGCCACTGGGGAGAGCAAACTAGGGGGGGGAGACTGGGGAGGGGAGTGTAAACTATGGGGGGGACACACTGGGGAGAGCAAACTGCGGGGGGGACTCGGGGGAAGGGGGGGGGCAAACTGGGGGGGAATGACACTGGGGGAGAGCAAACTATGGGGGGGGACACTGGGGGAGAAGGGAGGGTAAACTATGGGGGGGGACACTGGGGAGAGCAAACTGGGGGGGTGGGGAAGGGGGGGTAAACGGGTGGGGGAATGACACTGGGGGAGAGCAAACTGGGGGGGGAAGAGGGGGAGCAAACTGGGGGCTGGGGGACACTGGGGAGATCAACTGGGGGGGGAACGGGGAGAGCAAACTATGGAGGGGGTACACACTGGGGGGGGCAAACTGGGGGGTGGGCGACACTGGGGGAGGGTAGATTGGGGAGGGGGGGGGGCGGGCGGTCAGGTGGGGTGGGGGCAAACTGGGGGTAGGTCTTAGGGGCAAACCGGTGGTGATGGGGAGCAAACTGGGGGTCTGAGGGGCAGATCGGTGGGGTGGCACATTGGGGAGAGGGGGAATGGGCACAAAGCGGGGAGAGGTCTGAGGGTCAAACTTGGGGGGGGGGGGTGCAAGGGGCAAACTAGGGGATGGGGGGGCAAGCTGGGGGGATCAGACCGGGGGAGGGGTGGGGGGGAAGTGAGTGGGCCTTGTGAAATGCTCGTCTGCACAGGACACTGCACTCTGCGCCTCGAAATGTGGGTAAATTCATGAGGCTGAATTGCCCCAACCATGCACTGGCACCCCAAACCTTCCCCCCCCCCCCCCCCCCAGGTTCCAGCATCAATAGATGGGTTAATGGGAGAGAAAAAGGGGCTGGTGCAGCTGCTGGTGCTGGGTGAAGGTTCGGCTGTGCCAGCCCGTGTGCAGTGGCTGTTTTATGGCGCATGGGGGAAGAAATGGGGTTTGGGGCTGGTTTTTGGTGGGATTCCCACTGCGGCGGGGCTGGAGGAGCAGCGGCGGAGGCGGAAGGGGAGAGGGGGTGGCAGAGGAGCTGAAGGGCAGCATCAGACACCGAGAGGGTGATGGGTGCTCAGCTCCCGATCAGCCACATCAAACAGCACTCATCTTACCGGTATCGATGAAGCCAAGGATGCAGAGTGTGATGGAAACGTTAATGCTCTGAATGCTGAATTCCTGCCTCAGGGAGCTGAAAAATCCGTCCAAGGCAAACTTAGTTGCAGAGTAGGGGACCGTAAAGGGAAACCCAACTTTACCTGGACACAGAGTGAACTTCTGTTAGAGCACAGAAAGCTGCCCCGCCGAAACCTTTCTTTTGCCCTTCATCAGATAAAGTATTTTACCCAGAGGGAGTTTACAGTTAGTGAAATGTCATCCTGGCTCCTGAAGAGCAGCATTACAAATAGTCCTGTCAGCTTCCAGCTCGTTTAAGGTTTGAAGGCCAACACCATGTCTCATGTCTCTGCTCAGGGTATGAGCAACCCGCAGTAACTGTGAAACCCTCAGAAGGGAGAGATGGAGCAAAGTTTAAACCCTCGTCTCTGGATACGGAGCTAAGCTGATCACCAGGAGAGTAACCAACATACTGGCTGCGAGTGGGGACATCTGTTAGTAATTTAGTTTCCTGACTTAATAGGAATTTATTAGAACAAAGTTATGTTTTTGTGAATAGTCAGTAACTCACTCTCCAAATATTAGCAGGAACTTGACCTACCAAACCAAGATGAACAGTCAGAGAACCAGTGCAGTGAGAAATTACCACATTTCCACTTTTCTCTGTAAAATGGGGGGGATATGAGCTTTGTTGGTCTAATGAGCCTGACACCAGGGTGTGAGGTTTAATTACAGGGCTGGTGAAAAAGCAATCTGGGGTGATTAGATTGCATCAAAGAACAAATTCCATTGATAAAATGCAATTTGGGTTGTTTGGTGTTTTTTTTCTGAGTGCGTTAAGCAGTTACGGCTCCTTTAGGATGCCTGGTGTCTCTGCACGTTACTTCTGAAAATCAGCCCGCGTCTCCTACCTCGCTCCCCACTCACCCGCCATGGATGAAACCACAACGATGCTGCCCTCGCTCTCCTTCAGCATGGGCAGGGCAGACGTCGTCATCGCCACGTAGCTGAGGAAGTTGATCTCCAGGAGCTTTCGTACGTGCCCAACGTCCCCGTTGAAATAACCGAAGTACGACGTGCCAACGTGATTAAGGATGAGCATGTCTAGGCCTCCTGCAAGCAGAGGAGCAGGCATTAGTGCTGGGTGGGAGAGGGCTACAACCAGCAAAACGCAGCCTTTCCTGGGAGCAGAATAAGCGTAAGAAAAGAAATCCACTTTTTGGGTCAGAGCTGTGGCCTGTCACCTCTGGAATATAGAGTCTGGATGGTGACTGCCAGCAAAAGTTTTGGTTTTGTGTTTTTTTTTTTTTTTATTCTGGTTCAAAACACAAATACTGTGGCACAAGGGAGGTCGCCCTTGAGTTGTCTGTGGGCCTGGGAGAGGGAGTGCTCCACAACGAGCTGAAATATTGCATTTCCGCAGCCGTGACCCGTGACCGCAATAGCAAGGCGGCTGCGGGCCTGATGGATGGTTTCAGACCGCAGTAGCTGGGGGTGATGAAATCCGGGATTATGATACTGAACAGGATGTCATGAGGACACAGAGCTGAAGTTGAGAGCGCAGATCAGTTTGAGCAGGAACGATGAAGCTGGGCAGACAAGTAGGACTGCGAAAGGCAGAACTGGAAAAAAATCTCTCCTGTCTCACCCCATCTCCATCTCTCCCGCTTTGTTTAGCGGGCACATGGCAAAAAGCAGCACGGCCATGGCAAGATGCGGTGTCGCTTGTGGAGAGCAGGCTGTAAACGTACCCAGCGAGGTCTTTGCCTCCTTCACCACGTGCTCGGCGAAGGCCATGTCCTCCATGGTGCCGCTGACGTACCGCGCCGAGGCTGCCCCCAGCTCCAGGCACCGCTCCACCACCTGCCACACCAACACCGCCCGTCAGAAACCCTTCTCCCTGCCCTGGGAGGCCTGGCAAGGCAGCAAGAGAGAGTGTCTGTGCTCCCTGTGATGTGTCCCCGCCTTAAAACAGAGATCTGGAGTTTCAGGAGGGTGTTTGGAGCCTTTTAAGCTTCAAAGGGAGCCTGGAAAATTTTTCTTCTGGTGAATGCGTTGCCCAAGGCAATCTGGCCCTTTGTCGGTGCGGTCCGTGCGAGGAACTGCATGTGTGTAGAGGGAGCAGGAGCTTGTATATCACCGCAGAGGAATGAGGGTGTGTGTGTGCTGAGGGAGCCTCTCTGAATGGGGGTATGTGTACAGAACTAAGCAAGTTCAAGTAGGTGTTATGCAGAGCGCCTGTATCTGCAGGAGAGGGATTCCTGCGCGTGCAGGAGCCCCAGCGGGACGAGTGTGCGGACCCGCGAACATAACCGTGCCTAGCTGGTGATCGTGCCGTGGCGATTACACGGGCAGTATTTTCACGCACGGACCTGCGATGTGAGACTGGCTGTCATGTGTGCACCGCTGGCAACATGCGTGTGGGAGTGCTGAGCTTGCCATTTACTTTCTGCAGCTTGGCCTCTGTCCGTGCTGTGATGAGGATGTGGGATCCCATCCGCGCCAGGTGATACGCCATCTGCTCGCCAATTCCCTTGCTTGCTCCGGTGACAATCACCCGCTTCCCTTTCAGCATCTCTGGGGAGCAAGGCACAGGGATTTAATTTATCCAAATGCTATTTAAAATAATAATAAAAAATACTCCAGTGCCCTTCAGAGTAAGTAGTTAATTGGAAGCTAAGTGAGCCCGCAAGTGCCAGGTGCCGGGCCCCAGGACATCTGGTCCATCTGCTGGGACGAGCTGTGCCGAGGAGCGGGGGCAGCTCCCCCTGGGAGCAGTGACACGGGGACAGCGCTCGACTCTCTCAGCGGTTCTCTCCGTGAGTCAGGACACAACTTATAAACACCCCAACTATTTTGTAATAAAAATCACCCACTAAGTGCATGCTTCAAAACTTAAAAGCCAACATTTCAAAGTCATGGCTATAAATTCTTTTGCTGCACATGGGAAAATAGAGTGTTCAGAGCCCTCTCTGTCTCAGACCCCCTGCCTCACCTGCTCCCTCGGGAAATATTTCTGCATATTACTGGCTCAGTTTGATTTCAGATCTTTGTTAAAACAAATTTTCAGTATCAGCCACCACACAAAGGCTCGGACGTGGTTTGGTCCAAGCTCTGTACAGTTTTATGCAAAACACTCAAATGTGGCTTCTAATACTTTCCCTTAAAGACAGATTCACTTTTAATACTTACCCGGTTTGAAATTCTCCCTCGCAGAATAAAACCAGAAGGCCAAAACCAATCCCAAAAAGGGAATGAGAATCTTTTGCAACCGACCCATCCCACTGTGGAGTCAGGAAATAAAGCATGAGAGAGAAGGGAGGGAAAAAAAGCCCTCTGCAGAGCTGCTCCAGAGGGAAGCAGCAATGCCAATCCTTTAAAACCTGTTAGCGAAGGAACTGCAACTTCCAAAGCCCTGGAAAGTCACGGGTGGAGGGATAAGTGCAGCAAACCCTTTGATTTGCTCCCCGCTGGAGCCGGCGAGCCTCGGCCTAACCGGCGGTGCTGTTTGGGTTCTGCCCGGCTCTTTTCATATTTCCTGTCCTACGTTAAAATGCAGAATTTTGCACAACACCCTGGAAGAGGTGTGTCTTTGCTGAGCAGCGTCAAGTTTCACTTCGAGAACATCAGAGGCAGCCTAACGCAGGTGGTTTAACATCGCCTTCTATTCCTGCCGCCGGGGTCCGGGGGTGCCTGCGGAGCTCTCTCTGGGTCTGATGGCTCGCCGGGGGTCCCGCACCGGGGCAGCGGCCGGGGGGCTGCAGCGCTGCGGAACTCTGCTCCCCCGGGTCTCGCCGCTCTGCGCCCCGAAGCAGCTGCCCAGCGCCGGGAGGCCGGGCGGCAGGGGCCCAGCAGCACGCACCACCCCCAAACTGCCCCAAAACCGCTTTGCTGACTCAGGGTTTATTTTTTTTTTTTTTTAATCTCTGCCTGCTCCTGCGAGCGGACGAAGGAGCAGGGGCTGAGCTAAACCCATCACTAGGGGTGTAACCACCCCGGCTCCAAGGGGCTGTGCAGGCACAGGAAGGCTTGCAATGAAATACTGGACGTTTTCTGCAGAGGAGGAGGTGTCCGTGCTGCTGTGGTTCCTGCTTTGAGTTTTGCAAGAGCTTTGTTCTTATTTTAAGTGAATATATTCTGAGGAAAAGCTGTGTAACATCCGCTAGCTCCCTGAGTCCCGGCAGCAGCAAATTCAGTGCCATCGATCTTACACAATGGGTTATAAACTGCGTTCCAGCGTTGGTCTGGTGCTGGGATTGTCCTCGCAGAGCACCAGTACCTGCTGGGGACACGCTGCGGGAGCACCGTGTGCTCCTGGAGCTGCCTGGCTGCAGCCTCTGCCCTCGCAGCCGGGGAAGGCCGGGTTTGCTGGGGCAGGAGCTGCACCGTGGCCTCACTGATGTGGGCACGATGTTGTAGCTGTCCCTCTCGGACCCCTCTCCTATAACCAGCCAGCAAAAAACTATTTAAAGCATTGCAGCTATTGCCGCTTTAAAATAAAGATGGTTTGATTTAGTGGCATACCTGGTAGGGCAGTGGAGCTCTCTGGCAGTGCTTCTGCTTTATAGATTATTTTTTTTCTTTTCTGTCTTTCTACTTCAGTCTTAACTTTCCCTCTGATAGGAAGCACTCAGCCCACACTTGGTCAGATAACACCATACAGTCACCCTGCCTTTTCCTGACCCTCTTTGCTTCGAACGTGGGTCATGATCATGGGGCAACCATTTCATTCCTTGGCTTGAAAAAAACCCCAACCAATTGACCTTACCTCAGCTGTGATCTCGTCTATGCTGCGGGCAGGGAGAGAGGCTCTTTTTAGATACTGGTGTTTGTTACTAGTGTTAGGATACTGCAAGAAAGCAGTAACTGTCAACCTTGTCTGCAAGCGTGTCGGGGAGGTATCGTGCTCTTTGCGGCGGCGCGGGGCAGGGGGTGGGTTGGGAGCCAGAGGCTGCGCTCGCCGCGCTGGGGTGCTCCTGCCTGAGAACGGCCGGTTTGTTCGGGGGGTTCTTCATTAAGCAAATTAGCTGATAATAAAGGACTGAAATACTGAACATTTTGGACGCAACTTAAACTTTTTAGAAAAGAAGATTCGTGCATGGGCCATTTGGCCTGTCCTGTGTGGAAATGAGGGAGGGGGGGTGCTGGCGAGGTCCCTGGGAGGGCTGGGGGCTGCGGGGGCAGCAGGAGCTGGCCGCACTTTGCTGCCCATGTGGGTGTTTGCTCTCGGCCACCGGTCACCCTCCCAGGGCACTGCTGCTCCTCACTCCCACTCACAGCTTTTTCTGGGTTTGTTTTGCGGTATGCAACTTAAGAACTTGTTTTTAACCTTTTCCTGGGGGCGGGGTGCGAGGGAAGGGGAGAGGAGGGCAGGAAAAGGCGACTGTGGAGAAGTGTTTTCTGATCGCAGCTGGTCCTGGCCCCTGTGCTGCCAAACTTTCTCGCCTTGGCAGAGGGGAGCCGGGCGGCGTGCCAAGGGGGAGCAGCCCGTGGCTTCTGAACCAGCTTCACTCGAATTATCCTGGATGCGTCCCCCCGCCGCAGGTCGCTTCAGTATCGCTCATTTGTTTTGAAGCCGTGTTTTTCCAGGGGCGATGCTCGGCCTTGTGCTAACTGCTCTGCGCAGGGGAAGTTCTTCATTTAGTGCCACCTGGAGCTCGCTTGGAGGAATCGAATGCAAGAAGGAACCTTGTTCTGATGACAGACGGGCCGGGCAGCAGGAGGGGGGAGCTGCTGGAGAGCCCCCCTGAGCCTACAGCCCGGCACTGCTGGGGGGAGCCTGTCCCGGGGCAGGTCTCTGCACACAGCTCAGGGGCTCAAAATCTCTTGGCAGGGATTAGGATACCACTTCTTTTTGTCTCTCTAGAGTGATATTTGGCTTTTTCTACCCATTATCAAATCTTTGTTAGATGCAGAGGATTTTCCCTTTTTTTTTTTTTTTTTTCCCCTTCTTACTTTCCTTTATCACATAGACATTAAAAGATTTCTCATACCCAGCTCTCCCACCATACTTTACCATGAACACAGATCTAATTCCTTTCTTTGCATATAAGGATATCACCACTATAAAGGGCCACCCTCAGTTAGACACGCATTAGGCTGATGTGCATGTCAACGTGATGCTGTTGGGCCGTGACAGATGAGTGTGTGTTTTGGCACGGGTGCACGCCGCCTCGCCGGGGCTCCTGGACATGGGCAGTGCCAACATCCTGCAAATGCCATCGCTGGCACGGCTGCGCTGCTGAAAAATGTGCTCTCGGGTCCCGAGAGAGACTTGAGATGATTGTAAGACTGAGTGTGGTTTGAAATGATATTTCTGTTTGCTGCCGGTTTAGAGAAAATACTGTGATGTTTAAGGCATATCTAAGCACTAAATTTATTCTTTTCTTGCATGACCAAATTGGGAATTGCTGACTTGATATTTGATTGTTGGTACTGTGGCTGCTTTAAGTCTTGGCCACTATCCATGTTCTCAGTGCCCTTGGTGTTGGATGGCAGAGGCTGATATGCTTATCTGGGCCCCTAATTTTAGCCTGGTAGCTCTCAAAATATCCAGAGTCCAAACTGCAGATGCCCAGTGAGGACCCTCTAAAGACATGTTGCTAATGCCCTTGAAGCGCTTGGCCTGTGAGGGAGGGCTGCTAGGTTTTAGGTGGCTGTCAACTCCATATGATGAAAGCCCAGACAACAGCTCCAAGCTGAAATAAGATCTTTGAAGAGGTGTTGCAGGATGGGTACAAACAAATACTCGCCAGATCTCATGCCAGCTGCAATTTTCCTGAGGATTTAATGCACCAGGAAAATGCCACATTTACAGGTTAAAGTCAACTGGGTTCAGGCAAAACTTAAAAGAAAGAGAATAACAGAGATCAACTTTATGTGATACTCGGGAATCTAACTCACACCTTGGGCACCCGGTGGCCCTCCAACATCTTTATCCCTCAGGACTTTGGTTTAAGTCAGTCTTATGTGCTCCATATGCTTCTATGCTGTAGTTTGCCTGAGGTGTCCTTACTGGTACTGACTGTACATCTTATTCCACCTGGTTGCTTTCTGGTATACCCCAGTACTTAAAATTTCTCTTTGCAATTCACACGCGGGCTTTCGGAAGGACTCTGCTGTGCTCCATCGCCCGTGTGTGTGGATGCTGGTCGCGTAGGGCTGTACTGGTGGCAGTTGCATTGGCCAGGGCTTTCTGCAGCTTGTCTGGTGTTGAAACACAGATGTGAGTGGGCTGGGAAAGAGGCTGGTCGGGAGAGTCATGCCATGGTTTAAAGACAGGAAAGTTTGCTGAACCATTTTAATCTACTTCATCTGGCAAGTCTGTCATTCATCATAGTTAAAGGGATGTTCAATGGTTTACTAAGTCTCCACGCACACTGAATTTATCATTGAGTGGTTTAAATAAGTATAGTCATGGGGGTAAAATCAGCCATTAATATGTGCCTCATTCACTCTGCAGAGAGCTGGTCCTGTCTCACATCAGTGCAATCCGCCGTGGCAATGGTAACACATAGGCTTCACCTGGCAGGCTGACCTTTTGGGGTAATACGTGGGAGGTACTGATCTCTGAGCTTCCAGTGCGTCAGGAGGCAGGAGATTGTCTTCTGCAGGACATGGTTTTACCAAGTTGGCTCCAGAACCGCCGGCGCAGCGCGTGGTTTAGCTGTTTAATCCCATGAGCTGTCTTAGGAGGAACTATTCTGATTGTTCCACAAACCTCTTTGCTTTAAGCTCATAAACCCTGTGACTGGATGACTGTGGAGAGGGGGTGTGGGCAGCAGGGTGCTGGCACGTTGTGAGGAGGCCACGTATGTGGTGTGAAGACAACCTGAGGTCCAAACCCAGAAGTGGTGGAGGTCATCCTGGATGGGCTCACCTGGAACTCCCTGGTCACTCCTGGACTTGCAAGCTGGGCTGCTTGAGACCAGCTCTATTGCCTCATTTTTAAAATTCTCCTTTCCCATAGGGCAGGATGAGACAGCTACAACTTGTAGAGAAGGGCTAATCTCAGGAACTGATGTGTGATTAACAGAGTTTGCAGCTGCCTTGGACAAAGACGTGATTTTCATCTCAGTTTAATCCATTTATCAGCTGTTGCTGCAGCAGCGATGCTTCTGAATTGCAGTAATGTGCGAGAACTCAGTCCCAGCAGTATTTTCATGCCTGACACAGCTATGGACACTCCGGTCCCTGGTTTATCCATGCACCGAGAGCGCCACAGGGAATTCCAGGTCAGCCTTCCCTGTCCCTGAGGCCGTGCTGCAAACATATAACCTGCTTAAAGCTGGAATTCTGATGTGGGGTGGACGCGATGGATGCTTGTTAGCTGATGGCTTTCTTCAGGCCTGAATTCTCCTTTTGTGTTTGCCCATGAAATTTCCATTGGTATCAATGAGGTGTCGGACTGTTCAACCTTGCCAGAGACCAGAAGGCTTGGTTGTGGACTAAATGAAGTGGTTTTGGTTTTAACTTAATTGGACTCTGCTCTCCCATGAGGAAAAAGTACTTTATACTTGATTCAAAGCTTGAACAGAGTTTTTATGCAGACTCGGTAGGATTCCTCCTCCAAAATGTGCTGCTTGGGTTTTTTGACAGAAATAATTGTTAACAAAATGAATTGCATGGTTATGTATTATGAAAATGTAAGGGTCAACTTCAGCTGCGTTCTTGTATTTCCAGATTTTGATCCTAACTTGTGCAGCTCTGGGGGGAGCTATGCATTCAGCACTAGTGTCAGGCAGTGCTTTTTAATTTTCCATAATCTCCTCCTGTTTGTATCAATTTTGGTTTTAGCTGGATTGTG